ACACAACCCAGACCCAACACTTCCTAAGATCCAACACAACCCAGATCCAACACAACCCAGATCCAACACTTCCTAAGATCCAATACTACCTTAGATCCAACACAACCCAGATCCAACACTTCCTTAGATCCAACACAACCCAGATCCAACACTTGTTAAGATCCAACACAACCAAGATTCAACACAACCCAGATCCAACACTCATTATCTCAGTCCTTATCAAGGTTTTTGTTTTTGTCCATGTATTCTGCTGGACAGCACCTTCCAGACCATGTATACACGAGATTGAGACCGTCATTAAATGTCTACATGAGACACTAAATACTTATATCTCCTCTGTCACTCTACTCTGTTGTTACATATCTCACTATATCACCAATTATCTGTTTAATACATCTTCCGTCACACAAAATCTTTGTCACATCCTCCTTCGTCACATTACTTATAAGTAACACCTTTCTCTGTCACTCCTTAACAACCCGTCACACCTCTTTCTGCTATAATCCTTCAGGTCACAACTCCCCAACATTTTGTGTTTTGTTAAATGAGATGTAAATTAATTAAACTACACAACCATGATATCTAAATATGTATGAAATTAGTATCATTTGCTATAATTATTGTAATTTGGAAGTTCCGTTACAACCAGAAAATCAAGCAAAACATGTCAAGGACAGAAAACGAAAAAAAAAACCCCAAAAAACACTAAATGGCAGAAGACGAGATTTAATTGGTATAGTGTGTTTTACAAGGAAACGAAATGTTATTGAATCGAAAATAAACTAGATGAAGAAAAACATTTTAGGAAAAGCAGTGGCGAGCAGACACCCTCAACACTAAACAAGTTTACAACAGGAAAATAGATGTAAAGGTGTCGACTGCCCGCAGAGATTCCAAGTCGGGGACTACATCAGACGGCTAATGGGTCACAGCAGACATATTCACTACCGGAATTCTCGTGTTTAAATGTCAAAGAGCATAATCAAAAACCAAATAACATTTCTTAGCAAGAAAATAAATTACTTAAGACGATTTATCACAATGAAACACATTTTAACTTTGTATCGAACAAAGCTAAATATCCAATTTGTAACAAAGAAAACAGATAAAACAGTTTTAAATATTACTAAGAATAAATAGTCGTAAAAGTAAATCAAAAGAAATGGAAGTGCATCAACTGTTTTTGTTTTGATTTAAATTTACATTTGAGGGGGGAAAAATTCAAATATTAGTAAAATCATTGGGTTCCGAACATATCTATAAAATTAAAGTTATACTCGGAATATTTCCATTGGAATTAACAAAATTTAGATCGAAATGAAAATGTTTTATTTGGATTCGAAAATTGAATCATGGGTAGAGAGCTGAGACGACAGTTTTCATTGGTTGCTTAAATTGACTGTCCAATGTAAAGTCCAGTTACGAAAAATTGGATTGCAAAAAGTTATAAAGCATACATAAACAAAATGGCGCTGAAGCAATAGCGATCTTCCTGTTTGTGTCGCACGCTGACTGTATTCTAGTGATCATATTCATCTACACCCACATTTCAGTACATCAAATGTCTAATAGTCATATTCTAATATTTCCATTCTACCATCAGCTTTCCGTTTAGTTCTATGTAAATCAGGTGGGAGTTTATCGGGCAATCAACGCCAAAGCGGTCAAGTGTATGAATACACATTCGGAAGTCAAGGTTAGATGTCCACCAGAAAGTACTCCTGGTATTATGAAATATTTACATTCTGTGTTACATTCGCCTATACATCATTACTACGCCATTTTGTAGTGTGTGAAACCGTATACTACAATTTATAATGATTCGGTCGGAGTTGGAATAAATAAATCTAGATGTCTAACTGGCCGCCGGCCACTTTCACTTTGGTATCAATATACACTGTACCAGTAAGACCTTCACAAAAATAAGTTACTTTGCAAAGCTTTCAAATTATATCAGAATAAATTTATTGTCAAACATATAATTTTGCCACAAAATCATCACTATCACCGGTACACTAGATTATCAAGTCTGTTAACTTCGTCTACTTTAGTAGCGTAGAAGTCGATCTGACAGACCAAATTACATATGTTGAACCTTTTACAAACAAGATGTCACTTACTGACAAGTTCCATTTGTAATTTCCGTTGTCATTCTATCCTGAAAATGGCATCAATCCACTCAATTACACGAAATCGTAAATAATTCCTGACGAATCTGACCGAGAACCGCATCACTTTTTAATGAAATATCAATGCGCAATTTTATTTCACAAACGAACGAAAATATAAATTGTAAAAAAATGTAATTATTCAAAATATTGCGAGAGGTTACACTTTCATGTCGATAGTCAAGTTAATTTTTTGACTTTACTATTTTACATAATTGCTATCTATGATGACACGAAGAACTATATTTTTAAAGCTGTTCTCAGATTTTGATTCGCTGACGTCAGTATTTGATGAAGTGGGAAATTTCAACTGGGTATTCCTGCTATAGCTGTAATTTAGTGACCATATTCTGATACATCCACTGACTGAAATCTAGAGGCAATTTTCTGGAGGATCCACTGACCGTAATCTAGTGACTATATTTAAATACATCCACTGACTAATTTAGTGGCCATATTTAAATACATCCACTGACTGTAATGTAGTGACCATATTTAAATACATCCACTGACTATAATTAAGTGGCCTTATTTAAGTACATCCACTTACTGTAATTTAGTGGCCATATTTAAGTACATCCACTGACTGTTATATTGAAGCCGTGTTTTGGTATGTCTAATGGCTGTAACCTGATACATCTACTGCTTGTAAAATAAATATAAAATAACACAAAACGATAAAATTGCATAATATTTTGAGATAGAGAGGTTATCCAGATTCTTGTTAATTTGTGCTGGCAGTATTCAGAAGGTGATTTATAACTTGACGTATATACACAAAATTATCAATAGTTGACAGTGTTATGCAAAGTAAGAAGCTTGCTGTCTGTCCCTCACACAAATTTCTTATCTATTGTTCTGTGACATCGTAAAACGGATATGCCGGCCTCGCACACGACAAACGTCATCAGCATATAAAGCAATTTTTCAGCTAGGTTACAATTTTCAATTTTCTTGTTGTATCGATTTGACTTTAACTGCTTCAGGCTTCTCTGCCTTATGATCACAGTCTATAATGAACACAATACATACTACAATCGTCTGGTATTAAAATTCATTTTGGAGCGTCCACCGCTCCGCCATCTTGAGGAAACCATTTTTGTAACTGCTTACCTAATACAGTCACACTCAGTTGTTGGACTTTGTTGTATATAAGAACATTATTCTATGTAAAGGATCAGCGGCTCCATGCCAAACTAATCCGCCATTATTTACAATTCACATCATATAGTTTACATATGTGGATCACGGGCAATCTAAGTATATTTTTTTCAGTTTGTCGTTTTGAAACTTTATAAGATAACAAATGTATACAATGCTACGCATGCGTAATACGGATTCATTCGTGGTTATTTACCATTAAAGAATTAACATCATGGCAGCAATGAAAAGAAAAGAAAATTGCCGTTGATTGGAAGAATACCGAACTCTTTTTCTACTTTGGACAATATAAAAACAATACAGCTACTGAAAGGTCGTCACTGTGCCAACCAAGTCCAGGGGGTAATTTCATGGTGGAGAAAACATGAGGAAGGTTCTAATAAGGGTAATGGATATTATATTACAAAAGTACTTTGAGAAAGAATGGTTCCATTTTGAAGCCGTAACGCTTGTACCTTTGATGATGGCCGTTTTGTGCTGAAACATCACGCGTGGCTGCACGATCTTGTTCCTTGTAATGGCGTTTCCAACAACCAGAGGTGAATTCGTCTGCCGACAATTATACGTGTTGATCTTGGTGCCTTGATTAGTGTATGTACAAACACAAATCTGCAATGGCTGCAAGATAATGTAGGACAGGGTCGTTTGTTGAAAATCGGTACGGTTTCCTCGCGGAAGTATATTGTTTCAGCGTATGGGGTTGATGGTATCGATATGCTAGAAACATGCTTATCGTTTTCGGTGACAGAAGCTGCTTGCTGTTAGCGTCATTAACTATTTTGCCTATCTCCAAGGGATTATCTTACTTCGTCATCACGAACTCGACACAATATAGGCCCTGGTTTCACCTGTCGCACGTTGATGCTGGTGTGTTTTTGTCTGAATAGCGTGCAGGTGGCGTTGGTTGTCAGTAATACGCATTGTAGGGCTGGATCTCTATCCGTAGGTCTCTGTCCACCGCCCTCACACACACTTATCAATATTGTACATTCGAGAAAATCGACGGGGATACTTCAACTTAAAAAATCGAATCTGTGTTTGCTGTGTGTTGTAAAGTGATAATGAGATTCGTATTAACGTGAAAATACATTGCTTGACAATCTGTTACAACGACGGAAACGTTCCAACTAGACCGAGTACAACACTTCATGCTGGATCACAGAACTGTGAAAACGCCTACGTTTTTATACTGACAGTACAAGGTATTAACGGTAGACATGGATGACTTCATCCTTTCAAACTGTTGTTGGATTGTTGAATGTGATGAGTTAAATAATAACCGTCAATATTTACATGAATTTGTATTTTAATCATAGTGTGCAAGGACACACGCACTGCATGTGTGTAACTATAGAGACACCAGTTTAGCCGTTCTCGACAGGATCTGTTAGGGGTACACGTGGTTTATATGTCATTTTATCAAGTGTACCAGTGTACCAATGACAGTGAAGCTTACAATGGTGTCACAACTATATGTACTTTGTATATGAATTCCTTGGTCTGTGATTAATGTCGTTTTTGTTTCTATATCAATCTGAACAATAACATAACGTACAATGAAAATGAACGTTGCATAAACTGTTCTGTTTTATTTTCAGGGTGCTGGTGTTCTAGGGGATGGAACGTACCGGACGTAGGGCAGATAAATGAAAAAGTAAAGCTCTAGCCATCATGCGTCCCGCTGTGTATGCAAGTGTGGTGCGGAACCGGAAGCAGAATGCGCGACGAATACGCTTGCGCGCGCCACAATTCTCTTTACGACGAGTAATGGTGATGGTGTTTGTAGGTGGCGCTTTATTCATACCTGGATTAATACTTACAATTCTAGGAGTGGAAAATGAAGGGAATACAGAGAAAGATTCACCTGAACAAAAAGTGTGAGTAGCAGGCTTTCAGTTTCTTTTTACATGGTGAAATTGGAAGTTTCTTTACTCTAAATATTCTTTATGGTAATTTATTATTCCGCAGTTGTTGCAATAACTATCAGGTAAATGCTTGATACTTTTAGTGTTTAATACTGGCCATTTTATTCACCTGCTTGTTGTAAGTCCATGACAGTACATGTCATTGGTTTTAGTTAGAATGTTCTGTATGTCTCCGGATAAACATCCGCCACGATATCATCAAATATCACATGTAATCACCGATATTTATAGACAGAAACTCGAAAAATATCGATATCAGACTTATTTCATGTAAGGATCTACAACCACAGAAAATGTTCATGATATATGGGTGTTCAACTCTGTATACAAAGTCAAAATATTTATCTTTAAAATAGGTGTTGGCTTCTCCAACTTAAGGAATGTTTATCTCACTGAATGTCGAAGTTCTAAATTGTTAGGATTTTGATGAGTCGGTCACAACCACCGTTGACAGAAAAATCCTATTTGGATAGCGCTTTAATCACCAATTTCTATGAACAAATATTTTTTCTGAAAGCTTGCGTCAGAGGTAACCTTTTTTATCTACATTAACATTACAAAACGACCCCTCGTAGGCCTTCATGGCCTCTTAACCTTCAGAACTATGAAAAAGGTGATTTCCTTTCATCAATGTGAAATCAAAAGGAGAAACATTAACATTGGTAAATAAACACCTAGAAGGACACCACGTCGCATCATTCATAGCTTGTACAAAGACATTCAAGTGAATATTACCTTTCAATACATTAAGAGTTAGATATAGTACAGTAAAACAACGTATTACACTGTACAGCTGTTTGGACCTTCGGCAATAACCCTAAGGGCTTGAATTCCAAACCTGAAAGGCGACTGGAAAATTGATCGAAATGTAGATGGAAATATGTAATAGTCAAATAATTCAATAAATTTTGTAATTTTCATATATTACATGTGAATATTCTGAACCTGGTCAATATTAATTTATTAAATCGCGGCGTGGAGATTACGGTAAACCGATAGTCTACCAGCAGTTTCTATTACCTGCAATCTCGAATATTAGCACCTTCAGTACAAATTAAGAATAAGATATAGTAGCGCCAAATTATTATTACTTTTCATCGTACAGCTGTCCTGGTCTGTATTGTTGAAATCTTGAAGGCGACTAAAGATGATGCAAATAAGACAAAAATATATGTAAAAGACCAGGCCCCACTTGTATAAAACATCTCAACTTGAGATTTCCTCAAGTCGAGATTTTCCTAAGCTGATATCTCCTCAAAAACGGCTTGTATAAAATTTTCTCAAGGATCAGGAGGAAGGCATCGATTAGGATGTCCTGAAATTCCTTGAGGAATTTTCATACAAGATATTTTCAAGGAGATGTCAGCTGAGGAAAATCTCGACTTGAAGAAATCTCAAGTTGAGATGTTTTATACAAGTGGGTGGGTGGCACTAATCCAGTGTTATAAAACAGTGATGTCAATTTTAGTTATTCAGCGATAAGCCATTTTTTTCATGAAAATATTTAAAAGTCAGGTTTTGTTTGATTTACAAATGAGGGGCAGGGGGTTTGGGTTGCAAAGTGAAAATGTTGTCGCTAAAATTCTTACAATTCAATGATTGAGTTAAAAAAAAGACGTTTTTCTGCTTATTAAGTATCATGTCTGAAGATTGAATATAAGAAAAATTGTCAAAAGTTGATAACGTGTGTCATAGTCACATAAGGTTATGACTGTGTTAAAATTACATGAAAATTTGTTTTAACTGACCTTACAAACAACAATGAATACCATAAGAAGACCATTATTATAACTTATTGGACCTTAGAGTACCTGCTCAAAGCACTCGAAATGGGTTCATATTATGCATTTTCAATCTTAACCAACTTTACTAAGAATCAGGCAGGTGGTATGCAACAAAATGCTGACAAACTCCTAGAGCCCTCCTACACCACATCACAAAGACATCCTCACGCCCTAAAATGGGTCAATAAGAAGTTTAGGCAGTATATCTTCTCATACATTTTGTATTCACATATTCTCTGTTTATCGACATTTCTCTGCTTCATTCTTTAGGTCGGACACTTATTTGACCAAAAAAAAACCCAACAAAAATAACAATTTTCACTCACGCGTTCAATTTGTAAGAATATTAACAACTGAATATCTATTTTACACTTTCCAATTTAATTCCCTCGTCTTAGAGTCAACATAAAAACTGATATTTGTAATAACAAACTATATGCAACTTACCTTGAAGTATTTTCCCTTCATGCAACTAAGATCTTCCTTGACTGACCAAACTATGACCCAAATTTTTATTCCTACTTTCCTTAATTTCATTATTGAATGATTTCAAAAACTGAAACCTGCCGCTGTTCGTTCGAAAGAATCGAAGCGTAACATGCAAGCCAACCTTGGGGACGTAAAATCAACCAGCAGTCATAACAAAACTTGCAACACGTTAGTTAAATTTAAGTTAACAACAGTTAGAAAATGTAAGATGATATACAGTATATTATCGGCAACTGAAGATTTTATTTCTATATATTTACATCGTAATGTCTCCCCTGGTAGTGTTACTGACATCTGTGCTGCGATTTAATTAATTTCATTCTGTCTTCTTGTATGCTCATTGGTAATAAATATTGTGTTACCATGCAATAAAATATTTTCTTTGTGTCCTTTCCCATTCGTACCAAGCATGACTAATTACTAATAAATTTCTGCAAATTTGACAAATGCTCCCTCGAGTTTTACAATGTGAAAGAATATCTGTTTGCCAATTGTGATAAGAGCTGCAACCGTATGTTTGCTCATCAGAGAATTGTCTGTTTAGAATAGGAAACACGTGAGTGCACCGGAAGTACATGCAATTAATGGAGCCGATCGATATAATTCCGGATTACTTCGACGTTTAATAGTGGCGATGTGATGATGTAATGCTTTTATCAATATACAGTATATGTTTCTGACACGTACAAACCTTCCGTGTCCATGATTTCCTCTTGCCTTACCGGTAAAATATTGTCTGTGCATTCATCAAACAAGCGGGAAACAGATATATTAATATCTATATATATCATGATACAATATCATAGATATTGGTTTTTTTCTTATTTATCGATTTTTTTCTTTCATTAATTTTAATTGTATTTTAATCAGAATGACAGGGTGTACTTTTGCCCTGGAGATGAGAAAAATTAAAGACGGCAATGTTGCTCCCAAAAAGCAATTAAATGAATAATTCAGAAACGACTGTTTAATTTACTGTTTTACGTGTTAGGGTTAGTCATAACATTGTATGCTTTCCGTTATTTTGTCATACTCAGTGAATATATCATTGTTGGATGATAAATCAGAATCATTGATACATTTTTGTTCGTCATATATATTTTGATTTTCCATGAATTCAGTTTACTGTTTTCTCTATCCACTGAATAAGACTCAATACACCAATCTTTCTGCTGATTGATATTATGATACAGACGAGAATAAAATTGTTTCTTTTGATATTTGGAATGACCTTATTTGGCAAAATGATAAACCTTTTGTTGACGCCTTAGAAATGCCGCCTGAATGCAGACAAATCCTAGAAATGTCATTTATGTAAAAACAAATCGTGTTCCATACAGTACGTTACCACATTACATTTTTGTAATTGGAAAATAAAGTAAACAGTAATTTTTTTTAGTTTTATTTAGTTTGTATCAACTTCCCATTGGGAGACATCAACTACACCGTTTCTGTTCGTACATTGGTGAAAAATAATTTGATTATAATCGGCGTTATCAGCGTTTCTGTAAAACCCTCATCCACCCCCATCCCAATCCTGCCTATCGTAACCATAAGTAGAGTCATTCGACACCAGTTTAGGGCTATGATTGTAAGTGGTTGTTACAGTAACACTGTGCCCATAATCGATGATGTGTGTTAAATGTCGCTACGAAAATAACAACAAACCATCCTGTTCTCATGGATAACTTATTTCATGACTATTAGACATATGATCTGTTTTAAGGTAATGCGCCTATCTGCTGCCTTGACAAGTTTATTGACTACTTTGGCAATAAATCTAACAACGTTGCACAATATATACCCAAGATCAATACTACTTTTTGTTCATTGAAAATTGGGATATGTATGAACACCGTGACTTGTTATGTTCAAATGTTTCCTATTTCATAACGGTTCGAAAGTACTGAGTTATTATGAAGTTCTGTCGGGATTTTTTTGTGTGTGTGTGTGTGTTTTTTTTTCTTTTTACACATCGGTCTGGAGCCGGTGAATGCTGCTAGTTAGAGATAGCCAGTGGTTAGTGAAAGTTTCCAAATATGAAGAAAAACATCGAAATATTCTTTATTGTTTCCCAGCTGTAGGTTTGTTGAGAAAGGTAAGATTGATATATTTTGAGTCTTAATTTTGTATCAAATACTCTTGTTTGTTCAATGGTAGCAATTAAGTTTTCAACTAATCATTTCGTTTACTCTAGCCACGGAAAACATCGAAAATAACTCCACGCTCTATTATTTCGATTTCTCTATAGTGAAATTTCCATTTCTGGATAGCAACAAATCCTGCGTTCCTAACCTGTGGAGTTTACTTTTCGCAGTTTATTCGATATTCGATGGCTTGTTCCCAGTATCACAATTTTCCTGCAAGAGACCGTCAACTGACGGACAAACTAATAACTCTGGGTTTCAAAAGATACTGGTAGTAATTTAATTGTGAAATATTCCATTTCTTAATGCAATATAAAGCTGGACTTCTTTGATCCTCTTTATTTTGTCAGCTGGTTCCATTGTTGTATACCTTGTTTTCATTTGTGAACGTGATATTATATTATCACAGTGACCAAAATTTACATGACGGATGTCGTCGATGAAGCACGAGACGCTTACCCTTCTGAAATGTATGGTATCATTTTCCTTGTGCTTTTTTGATAGTGTAAATTTCCTTTAGTTCACATTTGGC